CGGGATCTTAGGCATGCACGCACGTGCGCCCAGCATGAGTTTAAGGAACCAGGTTTGGAACTCGGACCGCAGTCAACTATTCGGGAGTCCAACAACGTAGCCATTATGCCAAATGCTGGTCTCCAGAAAAAAAATCTTAAAAAAAAAAAAAAAAATTAGGAAAAAGTCAATAAATAAATAAAATTAAATCTCTATCAAATTGCTTTTGTATAATTTTGTATATGATTTCAGGCCATTTTGGGGAGGGCAGGTGGCGTGGGATTAAAGGTGCTGGACTCCCACATGACCGACCAGCGTTTCAGCAGACCTGGCAGCTTGCTTCCTCACTTTCCCTCTCTCTCTCTCTCCCCATTCTGATCAAATTTAAATAAATAAATAAATAAAAATAAAGTAATTCTTTTTTAAAAAAAAAATATTTATTTAATTTTATTTATTCATTCATTTATTTTAATTCAACCAGAGAGAGAGAAAGGGAAAATGAGAAAGGAAGCCACCAGGCCCGGGACTCAAACCATATGGGAGTGTCCAGCGCCTTAACCACCATGCCACCTGCTGGTCCCCAATAAAGTAATTCTTTAAAAAAATATATTTCAGGTCATTTCAAGAGCCTCATATTGTGACTCACCTTTAAAACTGTTTAAATTGGGACCAGCAGATGTCACAGTGGTTACATTACTGGACTCTCACATGGCTGACCATGTGAGAGTGGGTGGTTCAAGTCCCAGACCCAGTGACTTGAAACTCTTGCCAGGTGCTTGTGAGTGCATCCCCAAGATCCTGGGAGGAGAATGGAGGAGAATGGAATGTGATGCAGTCATACCTCCTAGGGGGCCCTTTCTCACTTTCCCTCTTACTGTGTCTGTCTTTCTCTTTTTCTGGTGAGTGCATGTGCCCTAAGGCAAAAACCTCTTAAAAAAAACTGTTTAAATTGGCACTCATTAACCAGGGCCTTGGAAGGCAGGCGACTGGCAGGTGAGGGGTGCTGAGGTTTAAATTTCATGAACTTTGAGGTAAACTTAAACTTTGGACCTGACAGTAAAGTGGGCCAGAGGGGGGTGGCTGGGATATGGGAAGAGAGGTGCCAAGTCCAACACATTCTGGAGAAAAAGGATGGTTTGTTGTCCGTGGTTTATTACGTATAGAAGACCTAACTCCAAGAATGCACAAACAGCTCCGTGTGGATAGCAAACGGAAAGAGCTAGTGCTGTAGGGGTGCTGCCCAAGGGCTGGCATGGCAGTGTGGGTAGCAGTGTGTTGCCCTGAGCAGGGAACTAGGGTGACAGTCTGACATTTGGGGTGGGAGACCGTGAAGTGTTCTAACAATGAGGAAAGATGGGTCCCAGATGTGTTTGGGCCTGCTGAAGAGCACTGAGCATCAGTTCAGGTAGTGACAAGAGTGCTCAGTTGTTTCAAGTAATTTGGTGGCTACTGAGGTAGCATT